ACCCATTTGTCTACTCACGTGAGTTTTCGACCTGTTGGGTTGACAGGAACTGAGGAGGAAATCCCTGTTCCCCTTAGAAGTTGTTTTTTTTTTTTTACTTGAAATAAAAACTGTGCCCCCTTCATACTGCCCAGCAATTGCTAAATGATTTATCTTGCTGTAGATTATAAGCTTCTGCATGACTCTGAATCAGCATCTTTGGCTCATAAATTGCACCAAGAACTGCAAGATTTCCAACGGGAGCTAACAGCAAAGGTAAAAAGCATTAATCATGGTAAAACAAGGGTTGGAGGAGTTCCCACACCACTGAATCAACTATATAACCCCCTTTGAGGCTGGTCTCATATATTGTACTAATTCAACCTCTGATTTCTCCCATGCATGTTTTCCCACTGCTTCTTAACCCTCAAGTAAGAGAAGAACATCCACAGCAATGCAATTGAAAAATTACAAGGGTTGGTCCTCTTCTTCTTTTAAAGGGTTGCTAAGGGTCAGCCTGTGGAAGATAGGTGTAGATTGGGGAGAGAGGGAAAATAGTCTTTATTTTTTGTTGATTGATTGGTTGATTGATTATGTGCCATGAAGTTGGTGTTAATTCTTAGTGACCAAATAGATAGATTTTCTCCATGATGATCTCTCCCTAACCTCTCCCTAACCATCTCTCCTCAACCTGGCCCTTCAGGTCTTCCAACGGTGCACCTATTGTCACTGTAACTGACTCCAGCTCCCTTGCTGCTGGTCATCCTCTTCTTCTCTTTTCTTCCACCTTTCTAATCATTATAGACTTCTCAACAGAGCGAGGTATTCATATTGATTGATTGATTATGTGCCATCAAGTTGGTGGTGCTTCCTGGAGGCCACATTGATAAACCTTCTCCAGGAGGATCTGTCCCAACTTGGCCCTTCAGGTCTTGCTGTAACTGAGTCCATCTCCCTTGTTGCTGGTCATCCTCTTCTTCTCTTTCCTTCCACCCTTCCTAGCATCAGAGCTTCTCCAGAGAGCTGGGTCTTCACATCATGTGTCTGATGTAGGATAATTTGAGCCTGGTCATTTGTGCCTCGAGTGCAAACTCTAGGTTGATTTTTTCGATGAGCCACTGGTTTGTTTTCTTGGAGCCTTGGACAAGATCTTTCCAAGGAATTGACCAGTTATTGTGGTGGCATTTCCAGTTCTCCAGAATGACAAGGCAATAGGATGTCAAACCTTTAGTCTGATCCAACTGGGCTCTTCTAACCTTCTTTTGCTCCAGGTGTAACTATTCCTTTTCCCATCACCTGCTTCATCGTTTCTCCACAGGCAATCCACACACATCGGCCCAAGAGGAGTTTGAATTATTCAAAGACTTCTTGTCTGCTTCATCTTCAAGCAGACCACCTTTTCTACCAACGCTTTGGCTCTGTGGAAGCTGTGATTGCCCAGGTATGCAAATCCTCTATTTTTCAAAAAAGGATGAAGGGGAGGGCCAAGATAAAAGTAGATGGAGCTAGGACAGGTACCTCTTGGCTTAGCCCTGCCTTTGGTGACTTGCCATGAAATTGGGGGTGGGGTTGAATTTTGCAAAGCTTCTCTTCCTGGGCATGCCTGCCCCTTCCCACCACCCTAATTTCTGGGTGTGATCATTCTGTGGGATGATAGTTGCAATTCTGCAGTTGCATTCACACAAGATGCTAAGCTGGGCTAAATGGGGTTGGGTGGTATAGAGAGCCACAGAGATTACCTTGGACAAACGAGGGACAGACAACAGTTGCAAGAATGCTACAGCAAGATGTTCGCAGACAGAGGGGTGCCCTGAGGGTCCAATGCCATCTCTACGATCCAAGCTAAGATTCTCTGCCTCTTTTCATAGAAAGTAGAAGGCATTCAAGATTGATGCCAGCCCTTTGAGGTAGGCCAGGTCAGGAAACAGGCACCACAAAGAATACTGGAACTCTATTGAGACAGGCTATAGCAGTGTTTTTCAAACTTGGCCACTTTAAGATGTGTGGACTTCAACTCCCAGAATTCTGCAGCCAGCTTGCTGGCTGGGGAATTCTGGGGGGTGGAGTCCACACACCTTAAAATGGGCAAGTTTGAAAAAAACTGCTAAAGCCTGTCTCAATAGAGGTCCCATATTCCT